TCCTCTTTTTGTACAGTATTTTTCACTGCATTCTCGGCTAGCTGCGCGTGCTACGCCGCAAACTCATCAGTCGTGTACCACTACCACTCGAAGGCACCATCAGTATCCAGGAAACTGCTCTGGGAACATTTCTTTTCGTGGCCGATTTTAATACTTTTCTGTGGCTGGTTTAAACAAAATGAGAACTTTAGCCCTGCAGAAAGACAGACAAAGTATTTCTAAGCAGAGAGGCGCATGAATCTCGAAATGCTGGAAGAAGTACATTGGGTTTTTTGTACCGGAATAGCAGTGTATTCGAGGTGTGTGTGGGTGTGTGTATCTGTTTGCTTTTGGGTATGTTGTGTATAAAGTGCACAGTGTTCAGAAATTTGGTTGACGTACATCGTGGAGCTGAGACGAGCCAGTTTCAAATCTGGAACATTTCTGGACCAGTGCTATGTGAGAGAACATTTCATCTGATGATTTATGCCGTTCATATTAAGGATACGTCAGTCGTGCCACTGTTGTATCCATTGTATTTTATCAGCCTCATTGCCTTATTTCTACGAAAAAAAAAAAGTGGTAGTAAAGTAATCAGGCGTGTTTCCAAATCCTCCTGGCCACTTCACTGTTGCCTCTTCTCCTGGATAACAGCGACTTCATTGCTGAGATGCATAAACGAGGGATTCACAGCCGAGCAAGACAGTCCACTAACAGACCTTTTAGAGCATGGTAGAGATGTGAAGCCATTGCGGAGTGTTTTTTTTCCTTTAGAATTTATGAGTTTTACGGAGACTCAGTTCTTTTTCAGGGCGGAGGAGGGGGATGGGAGTTTGGTTTGTTTTGGTATCAGTATCCCTACGCCACCGGGCAGCATAGGTTCCATTGAGGCAGGCGCTATGGAAAGGCTTTCATTGCCAGTGGTGCAGTGTCACGTTGTGAAATCTGGAGATCGAAGCGGGGTTGGGCACAAAGAGGAAGGTGCAACGTTCTGCAAGGTGTAGCAATACAGGATCTGCGTTGCAGAGTGGAACTGATGTTCGTGCGCTGGAGGTGCTTATGTTGACGAAGACGGGCGTGCTACGCTTATCTGTTGCATGTAACTCAACTCAGCCAGTGCGCGCGAAAGCGGGGCGCGATGCTGCAAAGCGTCTGCAGGCAACCTCATCTGCTGCACCATTGGCTATGAAGAATCAGGCGCAGAAGGGTGCAGTGCTGGACGGTTTCGTCGAATTTATGATCAAGAAGTATCAGAATGAGATGCAGCGCCTGAGTGTGCTACTTCGGGAAGAAGCCATCCAACAGTACGATGATTACAACCAGGTTGCTTCCTGAATTTCTGCAGTAGGCTTCCTCAAAGCGGTTAGAGGTGCAGTTTCATAGCAAAAAAGACCTTTGTTTGCAGTAAATTTTCCGACTGAATTGGCACAGTGACAAGTGGCGATCACTCTCAAGCGACGGACAGTTACTGCGAGTGCAAGCGTTGGCCGAACAATTTTATTTTTGTACTAAAATGATTCTGGCATTTCTACTGCAACCTTTAGAAGCAAAAAAAAAAGCCAATTTTATATTTTCTATTTGAATTGTCTAATTTCGGACTTTGTCCAAATCTTTTCCAGACCTATCGAT